AGGAATATTAGACATTCTTTTTATAACAGAAATTAAAAAAAATAAAAAAGAATGTTGCTGGTTGAGAAAATTGACCATACTTTGTGCTCTTTGGGAGGCTGAGTTCAGGGTTACAGGGCATTTGCACTGGTCCTTGTCAGTCCTATATTCACAAAGGCCTATACAGCATCCTGTTTACCAAGTCTATTTCTAAGGCATGCTTGTCCTCGATGCCCTTCCCCCTCTGTTGCGTTGGCCTTCGTTAGCTTATTGGCACTGATGGGCTCTGCGTGTCTTTGCCTGTTAACATCAGAATGTAGTCACCCTGTGAGATCATCTGTGGGATCAAAGATTACAGGAAATTCTCATTTCTGTATCCTGAACCCATGGAGTTTTACCTGGTTCATGAGACATCCCTGGTATATTCAGTGGATTCCTGTGACCATGAAGAACCAGAGATGGAGGGCAAAGGTGAGGAAGACTAGAGAGCTCAACTCAAGGTTCATTTGGGACACTTCAAGTCCACTAAATGAATCTCACAAATACAGCCCTCCAATGTGCAACGTCTCTCTTTGCTGCCGGCTCACCTCCTAGTCAGTCAGTGTCTAGACTTTGGGGTGGGCTCCCAAGTAATGATAGCTTCCTTACCTCACACACTTGCAAACGGAATGTACAAATAGTTCAGTTATATTCAGTGTTGACTGAACCTTTACTATGTTCACACAATTAACTTTCTAGACAGCTAGTGAGATAACCATGGCTGTTCTCTTGTGAGTAATATTTGAAAGGTATCTCATATTAAGAGAAAAAAAAATCTGACTCTAATGGATTTCTCTCCAGATTTCTTCAGTGAACAAGCTTTAAAAGGATTCTAATGAATTAAAATTGAAGTTAAAATGTTTCATTGCATTTTATATAAACTAAGCTTCAATCTAAATCCCAGGAAAATAGTTAATTATTTATTAATCACACAACTGAGCAGATTTTAAGTATTTTTGACAGCTCAAAAATTATACTTGTAGCCATACCATGATATAGTCCTTACTTAGTTTGGCATATAATATTTTCTTAAATATTAATAGCCTAACTTCTAGTAGAATTATGGTCTCCTTTTCCTCCTGTTGACCTGTGAGTTACTAGTTTTATTTACTCTTATAGCTTTCAGAAGGCAATCTACTCAAGTAACAGTGTTTACCAAAATAAAAGCCCACAATTGGAAGCATACGAATTTTCTGAAAGCTGATGTTCCAAGGCTTTGCCTTCGGTCACTGTTGAGTGACATTTAGCACAGCAAGAACAACTGGATTCTGGAACACGAGGCTTGGCTACTCGGCATGACCGTGGTGTGTGTTCTCATGGCATTTGTCAAGTACACATCTCAGGTCAGGCTTGGGAGGCCGTGGATGAGGGATGCTGCCAAGAAAGCTTTCACCAGACAATTTTACTGATGGTAGTCTTCTTTTCAAAACAGTGTATTGTCATGAAAGATAAAATGGAGATATTTAGACGGTGTGTCTAAGGCTCACAAATGGCTTCTCCTGCCCAACGGTTTTATACCGGTTTGATCCATGTCACATCTTCAGCTTCTAGCTTATTAACCAAGTTGACTAAGTAAGGCTGGCAGAAGTTCATTCGGGTATTTTCCGTGGACATTTTGCACAGGAGGATAAATAAATATGGCAATGGGATCTTCTTAGACAAAAAGAGTTTCTGGAAATAGTTTCTGGGATTTGTTATAGTAAGACAGACCTGAGGGTAAGCAACCTTCTTTGTGGCAAACCAGCTGTCCCCTGAGAAATAGAACAAATGAAAACAGAATTGTGATATCAGTTGTGGCAAATGTAAAATATATAAACTGACAGGTACTTTTGTGAGGCTTGTCTGGTTACCACCCAGAAAGAAACCCCAATGCAGCAAATGTGTCATTCATCTCTGTACAAGTTTGTAGCGCTCGGGAGGTGGCTCGGTGGGTAAAGTGCTTGCAAAAGACGCGTGAGTTTGGATCCTGAGTACCACATAAAAGCCAGGTCCCTGCAATCTAGCATTCAGAGATGGCGACAGAAGGACCCTGGGGGCTTGCTGGCCAGGCAGTTGAGCCAAAATGGCGAGCTCCAGCTTCAATGACAAGATACTGTCTGAAAACTAAGGCAAAGCTATGACCTCGGGCTGCACATACGCTGACCCATGATGTACATGTGCGATTGTACATGTACTCATAAGATAAAATGGTTTCTAAAATTATGCAAATGAAGAGGTAATACTTTCCCGCTTGTCAAAGTTGAAAGTGCCTCTTATATTACCAGCTAGGAGATGGGGTACAGTTTAGAGCATGTTGCCTGTCAGTGAGGTAGAAGACAATTTTCCCCCATCGTTGTCCCAAATGTCAGGTAATTGACCCTGGTTTAATGTTGTGTGTTTCTAGCTGAAGCTAGAAATCCCACTGAGGTCAATTATTAGCTATAAATGTTTCTAGCACAGCATTCGAGTTTCAGGAGTCTCGCCATTGGTCAGGTAAAATGTGTTAATTATTGCCATCATGAGACAGCACAGTTGCTGGGCAGCAGTATTAGGTCTTGGTCACAACACATTGAGCTGTGCCTCCCGGGAGCTTCCTGCCCAGGCACCCTCTGGCCTTGGTGTGGCCCATAGGGAGTTTGATTACATCAACAGTGGCCAGAAGGCAGAATCTGAGGACATTTGTTTTTTCTCAGTATAGTCTGCTTACCACTGACCCTGAATGCACTTTGGGTAGAGTAACTTAGTGTCTGTAGTTTTAACTTAACTAATTTTGCTCTCATAAAATTATGATTTTCATGTTGGGTTTTTACTGATAAGATGTCATGTACATTCTATACTAGGTGTCTTTTGTATGCAGCATGCTTTCTCTTTATGGCTTAGGTGCTGTGACCCTCCATTAGCAAGGGCTACTGTAGTTCAGAGTAGTTGAGCAATTTGTCCCAGATCTTAAGGTAAAGTAAGTCAAAGAGCTAAGGCTGAAGTCTAGATAGCTTGGTTCCAGAATCTCATGGGCTCTGTACTTACCACCCTCTCCCATAGGAAAGTATGTACAGCTACATTAAACAAACACCAAAACCATGTAAAGAACTCTGTAAGTACCACCCAGCAATAGCAATACTCTTAGCAATGTGATGTCCACATTCCTTCTTTGAACTCTGATTGAGACTCCTTTATCTTTCAAACCTGTCTTTCCAAATATATATGTAATCTGTATAAACTTCTCATGTATCCTATGGTATGACCATTGTTTGGCTCCACATTTTTATTTGTTAGTATCTCCTGAACATATTTCTCTGTACATGTGCCACAGGTGTAATATAACACAGTGTTTTATTGATTACTTCTTGTGGATCTTTTTTTGAATGGCAAGACTTATTTCATATGACACTTACCTTTATTTATTTTGTGAAAGTACTAATCAATCCTCTTCTGAAATGTAGGGTATTAGAAAGAACAAAGATACTATTTTCCCTTGCCTCTACATCCTCCTCCCTTCTCCACCCCTCCTTTGATGGAGAACTCAATAGGTGCTGGCTTTATGAGTAACACACTACCCGAACAGCAAGAACTTGGTAGAATGTGACCCTGTGGGAAATACTACTAAAACTTTCTTGTTTATAACAAACCAAGCCTGTTTTTGATGTGAAGTATTTACCTTGATTTACTTAGAAAAGTTTTACAACCCACTTGTACTCAACCCTGTAGATTTACAAATGAATATATTTTAAAATACTTATTTTAGGTATATAAGTGCTTGCATGCATGTAAGTATGTGCACCGCATGTGTGCTTGGTGCCCATGGAGACCAGACGAGGGTATGAAACGATGTGTTGGAGTTGGTGATGCATGTGGTTTTGTGCTGTTCTGTGGGTGCTGGGAGCCAAGCCTCTGTTTTCTGTAGGGGTAGCATGTGAACTACTTAACCATTGAGCCAGCTCTCTAGGCCCTTAACATTTTAAATTATTTTATTGCTGTTACAAACATTTTAGATTAAAGACTAATAAACGTGTGTCCACATAGGCAATTGAAGGCACACCCACTCCATTGTCTCACATTCCGTATGGGAGGCATGGCCAGGCTTTCAGGATGCCTGACAGGCCTGCGAGCATTTGGGTGTGTGCTCTCTGTTTGGACTCTGATTTTCCTTTGTCTACTTCGGGAATTTTTCTTCACAGTGCACATATATTTATTGTTAATTGCCACTTTAAATGAATAATTACCACTTTCCAAAAACCTCTGCTTTTGAAGACGTTAAGGGAGAATTAACCAGACAAGCCCTTGTGTCTCTTTTGTTACTGAGAGAAAAAAACATCAACAGATGATTACATTTTTGTGCTCAGTACTTTTTGAGCTCCCAGAAGCATGCCAGGAAAGGACTGTCGCCCGTCAGTGACGTCGGCTTTGTCCCATATACCTGTATTTATAGCCCCCTTGAGGATGCTGCTTTGAGCGTCGCTAGGCAATGGGGAAACTTTTAAGCTACTTTTAAAGTATGTTTAAGCTACTCTTTGGATGCTGTTAGTTTGCTATTTTTAAGCTTTATTTTTATTTATGTATATGGGTATGTGGCATGCATATATGTCTGTGCAGCATGTGTGCACAATGTTCATGGAGGCCAGAAAAGGGCATTGGCTCGAGTCTGTCTCCTTGTGGGTGCTGGGAATCGAACTTTGTTCTTGTGAAAAAGTAGACAGTGTTCTTAACCACTGAACCATCTCTCTAGACTTGTAAACTACTTCCATTCACTTCTTAAAGAGACACTAAGAGAAGGAAGCCATGAAGAAGAAAAGACTTTGGAGCCCATGAGAGGAGCTGGTGGTGTGCTTTGAATAAGAAAGCCCTCATGGGCTCATAGATTTGAATATTTGGTCACCAGGGAATGGTGTTATTTGAAAGAATTAGGAGGTGTGGCCTTGTTGAAGGAAGTGTGGCAGTGAAGGTGGGCTTTGAGGTTTCAGAAGCTCAAGCCAGGCCCAGTGACTCTTTCTTCTTGCTGCCTTCAGATCTGGATGTAGAACTCTCAGCTCCTTCTCCAGCAGTATGTCTGCCTGTGTCCTGCCACGTTTTCTGCCATGACATTAATGGACTAAACCTCTGAAACTGTAAGCAAACCTCAATTAAATGCTTTCTTTATAAGAGTTGCCGTGGTCATGATGTTATGGTTGTGATGTCTCTTCACAGCAATAAAACACTGACTAAGACAGTTGGGTAGTATAAGTAGTAGTAGTTTTCTGAACACCAGCCGTGCCTGGGTTGTACCCCATGACTTACAGTATTACCATCTGTAGCATCTTGTGAGACAGGTATGGCAGTACCTGTGTTTTTATAGCCAAAGAAAAGTAACCAGAGAGGTATATTAATTTACCAAAGTCACAGTGAGGTTTGAGTTTAGTTCCTTTTGCTTCATAACTCATTTTTCCTAAGATTGGCTTGCTCATTACTTTTCCTAGTCCAGGAATTGCACCCTTTCCACAGACCTGAAGCTTTCTTCTTTGCTTTGCATACTCTTGGCCTGTTAACCACTTCAGATGCTGAACACAGGGTTTCTGTGGGGCAAGCATCCTGGGAAAGAGAAACGTGGTGGGACCACTCAGTCTTTGCTGGGCTCTGTTCATCTTGTAGCTGACAAGTCCCAGACTTCAAGAGGGAACCACGTAAGGATGAGAGAGTAAGAAGTGTGGGTCCCCAGAGGTAGGACCCTAGCCCTATTCAAAGGGCTGTAACATGCAGACTGCTAAAGAAATGGCTAGTGAGGACAGGGTGAAACTCTGTGGAGGCAAAGTTTTGTTAGTATTAATACTGTTCAAAATAATACTAATACTAATACTAATACTAATACTAATAAACAACAATGTGATGAGGCTGGAGAGATGGCTCAGCAGTTAGGAACACTTTATTCTTACAGAGGACCCAGGCTAGGTTCCCAACACTAGGTGACTCACAATTACCTGGAACTCCAGTTTCGGTGGATGGGACCTCACGTCACCTTCACTGGCACCTGCAGTGCATGCATTTAGTGCTCATACATATATTTGAGAACCCATACACATATGTACAAATAAAAATATCTTTTTTAAAGAAGGGCAGAACATACAGTGGGAAGGAAACTAGACCTTGTTTTGTTCATCTCTACAGCAGAGTTAAGATCCACAATTGAATGATAAATCACTTAAGGCTGAAAATAATAGAGTTGTACCCACCCCAACCAATAGAAGCAATGAGGGTAATAATCAAAGTACAGCATTACATTTCTCTCTCTCTCCCTCTCCCTCCCTCCCTCCC